AAAAAGAAATGAAACAGTGCAGTTGCGTTTATACAGTGTTAAGTTTGCATATCATCTGTAATATCGTTTTAGCTTCACTTTGCCGCGCAATGCTTGTAGTATGCTGATTCAATCTGGAATGTCGTTTTGGCTTTACTTTCCCTCACAATGCTTGTAGTATGCTGATTCAATCTGAATGTCGTTTTGGCTTCACTTTCCCTCACAATGCTTGTAGTATGCTGATTCAATCTGAATGTCGTTTTGGCTTTACTTTCCCTCGCAATGCTTGTAGTATGCTGATTCAATCTGGATGTCGTTTTGGCTTCACTTTCCCTCGCAATGCTTGTAGTATGCTGATTCAATCTGAATGTCGTTTTGGCTTTACTTTCCCTCACAATGCTTGTAGTATGCTGATTCAATCTGAATGTCGTTTTGGCTTTACTTTCCCTCGCAATGCTTGTAGTATGCTGATTCAATCTGAATGTCGTTTTGGCTTTACTTTCCCTCACAATGCTTGCAGTATGCTGATTCAATCTCAGTCCCAGATTGTACTGGAACATACTAGTCAGGATTACTGACTCAAAAATTTATGATGCTGTTTTGAAAATTCACTGATGTATATATGATGTAATGTTGGCAGTGGTAATCAATGAGTTCCGTCAACGCGACAGTATCCTGGTCTGATCTTTAAAGTTGATCTTCTAGTCATTACTACATCTTATAATACATTCTGAAGATATCCATAATGTGACTGTTCAAATAAATTTGATAGACAGTTTTTATAGCTTTTATGAAAGCTTTAAAGATTGAGCGGTTACAGTTTTTTTATGTTCTGATCAAGTACTTTGCATCAGTGGAGTATACGCATGATTTGTTTGATTATGCAAATTTAGAATATCAATGACTTTAAAGTTATTAACAAAATTGTGGAATTTAGGTTTTCATAGATTGTACGCTTCAGCATATATGCTCCATGATTATTGCTTTTGAGTTTTCATTGATCAGGTGGAGGGGTCAAGGGTGAATTAGAGTGTAATAACTATTACTATAAACAAAACTATATATCTTAAATTTGATAACTAAGACTGTGCCATGCATGGTTTGTTTTTATAGTATTGAAGAGTTGGCAAAGACATCAATGCAGATATCAAGAACCAATCTAGTGCTGCTAAGAAACCAATGTGTCGATTTCGACTGACTGAATTGAAAAATAGTAGAGTCTGTGAGACTTATGAAGGTCTACATAACTTTATACAGAAGAAATTTAATCTGTTGTGGGGGCAGTATTTTAAACCAGTGCCATCAAATCCAGATATTTATTATTACATGACTTCAAAAGCAGAAACAAATCTTTCTGTGAGTAAACTCATATTATCCATTAAATTATAATTTTACATCATGATGAGCAAATGATTGTGCACACAGAGCACATGATTGTTCACATAGCACATGTTTGTTCACACAGAGCACATGATTGTTCACACAGAACACATGTTTGTTCACAAATAGCACATGATTGTTCACACAGCACAAGATTGTTCACACAAAACACATGATTGTTCACACAGAACACATGATTGTGCACACAGAGCACATGATTGTGCACACAGAGCACATGATTGTTCACACAGCACATGATTGTGCACACAGAGCACATGATTGTTCGCACAGAACACA